ACTAATATTAAACTTTGAAAAATTTTTTTTATGAGAGATCCTGTATTTGGCCATAACTTCCACTTTGTTCACTATGCAAATGTAGAACTTTTTCTTTTGTGTCTCTAAACAAGAAGGCTGACATCAAAGGCAGCTGGTGTTCCCTTGCTGAGTCTGGCTCCTATAAAATTAGAGTGTGCCGTGAAATGGTTGGAGGCACTTTCTAACACAACTAACACAGGAGGGCTTTAGCGACTCAAATCATAAACCTAAGCTCATAAGGGAAAAGCAAATTTTAGAATGAAACATACGACAAATGGATGAAGTACGAAAATTAAAAACACAAACAAGAAAAAAACAACTGAACTAAGCACCAAGATGATACCAGGCAGGCTCAGTTCTTCAAGTTGGAAAACTCTGAAGAGGTTTTACCCGTAATTCCCATCTTTAGTTTCCACTGAGTTTTTGCCCTCTGAATTTATGAACTTGATCTAAATTCAACCCGTTTAAAAGGATCGCATTGCTTTTTATGACCTGGGAGAAGTAAATGTAGAATTTCCTTAAATTGTGGATAGAAATGGAATGGTTATGAGTTTGAGCCTGTGGAATTTATAACGTATTATATAGCTATACATGGCATTTTATTATAGAGATATAGAGAAGAGAAATTTTCAACCACAGAATTTTGAAAATATCTAAAATTATCAATAAAAATAAGAAGAGCCGGGGTGAATGCAAATTAAAATGTAGGAATCCTATGCAACTATTCCCATTTGCATCATGAAGAGGTGACTGTGCACTAAATCTGGATTTAAAACAGGTGGACTGAAGGAAGTGCACTTAGAAGTCTGAGAAATCTGAGGGCAGTTACTGTCCTCCCTATGTTACCGCTGCCCACTAAGAAAAGAACAAAAAACGAAAGAAAGAAAAAAGGCGAAATGCATGAATGATTGTAGAAAGCAGTTGGAAGTATGGAGGACGGTCTATGTTTTGACTTTTCAATGAAATCTTTTACATTTGATCTTACCAATCATAATTTTTATTTCGTGCTGGTTTTCTGAAGATTATTGGTTAAAAAGTTTGCATTATTTTGACACATTGTGTTTCATCTCATTGCTTTAGGCATAAAGTTATATTTACTATTTCATGCAGTATTGTTTACTATAAGGCACCAAATTTAACTAAGAAAATCACCAATTTCTGAAAGAAATCATAAATCTAAATGCAGGAAGACCTAGAAGTTAGAAAAAACAAGTATGTTGAATATTGCTTTAAATTTCAGAGGTAGCATATTTATTTCTTATAGTATATGGAGAAATACAGCAAGCTTTATTGTGAAAGCATCAGTTAGTGTTACGTGAAAATAGCAGCATTTAAAAAATCTGGTAAAGTATGAAACAATAACTGAATGGTATGCATAAGCCATAGCAAAATTGTTCCTTAAATTTTATAATGAGTAATTCCCTGAGAAAGGCAATTCCTTAGTTTCAAGAAATAGAATAGCTCATATACCACATAAATTACTCCTGGGCATTTAGCATATTTGGATATATTTTTAAAATTCTTTATTTCAGAAGGGCCAAAGTACATAGCTGTTACTCCTTGAAAAATGTAGCAGAAATAATGTTTATAATATGCTTAATAATATTTGTAAAACAAATTCCAGCTTCAACTTAGTGATCCACAGCTAAATTCAAATGTTTTGGCCGTATGCTACCAAGGCAAGTTTATCTATCAGGTAAAATGCAAAGTAGAATTTCATTATATTTAGTCTTAAACATTTTAATTCCCATCACGCTACATGTTGCAAATGTCCATGGCAACTTTTGAAAGAATCATCATGAATATCACAATAAAATTTACCTGTCAACTTTTTAGATTGTTTGATATAAGTTCTACTATCCTTTGAACCAGATAGTCCTAATTTGCTTTGTATAAAGATATTTGCCTTTACTGTTGAATTTCATTTCATTTTGGCAAAGGTAATGATGGATTCACACATTATCAAGTTTAAAGAGCCCAGTACATCCATAAAATAATTTTGATTGTGTGCCCTACAAGACCTGATTAACATTTTCATATTATCAACCTCTTTTTAATGTGATCCTGGGTATGAAATCCTTGCATAAAGCACTTTTTTTTTCAGAAAAACCAAGAATATAGTAAATACAGAATAACTACTAGACCACACATACTGTTATATAGAAATTTTATAACCAATTTTGTAGTTTGCATTATTCTTCTTGAAATAACTAGATAAAAATGGCATCTTTCAACATCAAATTTTATATATGCAAACATCGAATTAACTATTCTGGGAAATGCTAGGTTTTTTTTTTTTTTCCCTGTCATTATTACATTTTTTAAGAAAAAAATTTTTCATGGCCTAGAAAATAAAAATCAATATATCTGTTTTTATTCCAAATATTCTTAAAGGATGAAAATGTAAAACATGGTATGGAATAATTCATATATTTTTCGAAACTCAGAGAAAAATAAGGAAGTCATATTAAATTCTAGACTGCAGTAAGAAGACGATCTTTGATTTCTTTCTTCTTTGAGTCACACTCTTTCTCCTCCCAAATACATTTTCCTTGTATTATGCTTTATGTTAAGAGATCTGAACTGCGGTATTTCTACCCAGGGTAAGCGTGCTGGGTCTTCCCTTTATTTAAAGGACCTGTCTCCCTAGCTTCACCTCAGCTGCATGCCTGGGGGAGCGCCTCCTCCTTACTCCAACAGTTTTGAATTTTCCTTCCCAGGTTTCTGGCCTCGCGGTGCCCAAAGCCAACTGCAGCAGGTTGTGGAGAGATCGCTGGACCTGTTAGCATCCGACGTAGCGAGGGGGAGGCAGCCAGCCTGGGGCGCTGCGCAGGTTCCCGGCCGTGCGCTCGTTGCACCACGCAGCTTCCCCTGCGCGCAGGCACGCGCGGCTTTGCAGCTGCTGAACAAACGCGAGGAAAACCCGAAGGACGTTTCTGGGTGCTTTGCCCCACGTCTGCGGGTCGGGTGGCATTCTAGGTCCCTCTCGGCTGACATTTTCCACCAGGCTTCTGGTGGCCAGCGTCCCTATCAAACCCACGTGTCTGGTTACCTTCATGGACGTGCTTGCCTCAATTCCACCTTGGATTAAAAAAAAAAAAAAGTCTTGCTCCTTGCACCCACAACCCAGAGAGTAGCTAAGGGTGTTGGGGGTAGTTTGTGTTGCTCTTTGTACTTCAAGTTCCCTACCGGAGCACGCAGTGGAGCCATCAACACAATGGAAATTCAAAGAAGATTCCGAAGGTTTTGGAGGAAGAGACCCCCCTCCACCTCCCCTTTATTATTGCTATTATTATTTTTTTAATAAAGCCCCAAGAGTGGAGGGAGTGGCAGGAAGGAATATCATTAAGCTCTGAGTCTTGGATGCCTCCCTGCGAGCGCGAACACCCCCAGAAACGTGCAACCCGCAGAAGACCCCCTCTGGAAGTCTGGAACCGCAGGAGATGCCGAAACGCGGGCGCAGAAAACCTTACCGTCCACGGCGTGCGGCCGCTTCCAGCTCAGACCCAGACTGGAAGGCTGAGCCGCCGCTCAACAAAAGCTTTAGTTTTTTTTTTTTTTTTTAAACGAAGTCTGCAAAACTAATTTCCCTCCAAATAGGGCTCCATTTCCGTTCAAGCCAGCAGTGCTCACACGTCTCCCAATTCCCCATCAAACCCCCGCTGCACCCCACCTCCAGGCCGCGGAAACGGATTCCATCTTTCCCGCGGATGCCAGGGTTCTCGCCAAGCTGCGGCGCTGCGGCTCCCCTCCAAAGGACCGCGGGGACGGGCAGGGGCCCGAGGGTCCTGCCCGTCCGTCGGGGACACCGCCCAGAGATGGCTCAGTACTCGCCCCTAATTCGAACCAGATGTCCAGCCCCGTCTGCTGTGCCCATTAATCTCAGGAACAACTTCAAAGACCTGGTCCCCATCCTCGGGACACCTGAGACAATGAAAATAACGGGGCAACACCGCTGGTGGCACGGCCGGGAGCAGTGAGGGCACGCGCGCTCCTGACGGCACCGGCCCAGCTGGGAGCCGGCTGCCCCGCGGCCCGGTGCGCCCCCGGGACAGAGCCAGCGGCCCGCATGCGCTCAGGGACTCCAAACTTATGCTTTCCTGTTTGCGGGATGCAAACCCGAAACGCCCAAGCGCCGATGGCACGCATCAGAGTGTTCGGTTTCCCAATCAGTGGCACCATAGCGCAGTGAGGAGGAGTGTGTGGAAGGAGCTGGTTTGTGTGGGAGCGGGAGAGAGGCGGTGGGGTTCTGGAGGAAAATCAAGGGCCCTGGGTTGCCTCCTGGGGGAGGAGGGGGCGAGGCTGGGAGCACGCGTGCAAATCCGCACGTGGCATGTGACAGGGACAAACTCTCTTCAGAATCTTCCCGGCCCAGGACAGCTTGCTCTAGATGGACTGGTGGCTGGGAAATGGAGTGGGACCAGTTTCGCTGTGACGGTCAGGGGGCGGGACGCCAAGGCAGGGCACCAGTAGGCGGCTCACGTCGGGATGCCTGGGCGCGGGCTTCCGCGCACTTTCCGCCGGCTCACCGCACCCAGTCCCGGTCCATTCGGTCTCGAGCGCTGCCCACTTGCGGGTCGCGCTGCGCAACTCCGCACCTGGACCCTACCCCAGAGCCCGGTGCCCGGCCGGCGCACACACCTCGGCGGCAAAAAGCCGGGCGCGCCTTGTGCCCCGGGGCGCACGCAGCGAGCGAAGTCTGAGAAACTTCTCGCAGCGTGCGCTAGACTTGGCTCTGCTCTGCCCTTTTCAGCCGCGCTCACTCCCCCAGGGGTTGGGCGCACCCCTAAGCTTTCCTGCGGGTGACAGTTTCCAAATGGCACTGACAAGTCATGGTGCGCGGGTAGGGGCTGGGGGGTGGGTGCGGAGCCGGGACTGGCGGGATCCCGGCGCCTGGTGCGCGGCTTGCAGCCCGGGGCTGCTGGCAGGGCCGGGCGGGCGGGGACACGCGGAAGGACTGTCCAGCCGGCAGTGGGAAGCGGGGCTGGGAGCGCGGGGCGCAGACTGAGCGGGCGCGCTGGAGGAGCTCGCATGTGGTCAGCGCCAGGCTCCTAAGCCAGCCCCCGGCTCACGTTACACTCTATTTATAACCTCCCAGAGCCCTTCCTCCCCCCCCCACCCCACCCCCCAGGCGTATAGTTCTCTGGGACCACCTTCTTTTGGCTTCGACCGCTCCCACTCTTGACATCCGAGTCGCTCGGAGGGAAGCTCCTCTGGGTCCCAGTGTTTATATGTGAAGGAGACCGGCCCGAGGGTTTAGGACAGGGATTACACGAGCGCTGCCGGAAAGCCCGCGCGGCTCTGGCCTGGGGACACAGGGGCGGCGTAGGGTGCGGGGGAAGCCACACGATTGCCACGGAGAAGCGCCCGCAGGCTGGTGGTGCCAGCGTTGGTGCGGTCGTCTTGAAGTCTTCCCGCCTGGAGCCCGCGACTTGCATGCTATGGAACACCCGCTCTTTGGCTGCCTGCGCAGCCCGCACGCCACGGCGCAAGGCTTGCACCCGTTCTCTCAGTCGTCGCTCGCCCTGCACGGGAGATCCGACCACATGTCCTACCCGGAGCTCTCCACTTCGTCGTCCTCGTGCATCATCGCGGGATACCCCAACGAAGAGGGCATGTTCGCCAGCCAGCACCACCGGGGCCACCACCACCACCACCATCACCACCACCACCACCACCAGCAGCAACAGCACCAGGCGCTGCAAACCAACTGGCACCTCCCGCAGATGTCCTCCCCGCCCAGCGCGGCGCGCCACAGCCTCTGCCTGCAGCCGGACTCCGGAGGGCCCCCGGAACTGGGCAGCAGCCCGCCGGTCCTGTGCTCCAACTCCTCCAGCCTGGGCTCCAGCACCCCGACTGGGGCCGCTTGCGCGCCGGGGGACTACGGTCGTCAGACGCTGTCACCCGCGGAGGTGGAGAAGCGAAGCGGGGGCAAGAGGAAAAGCGACAGCTCAGGTAAGGTGCGCGCCAAGGACCCTCGGCCGGAGTGCAGACGCAGCTGGGTCGGGCCAGGGCGGCAGTTTGCAAGCGCTGGAGGCTGCAGCGGGGCACAGCAAAAGCTGGGGCAGTGTCCAGCCCGCGCAGGTTTGGGAGATGCGGCTGTGGTCCCAGTTACTTGGGGGGGCGAGGGGAGTGTTACCCTTGTGCGCAACCTACACGCAGCCAGCAGCGGCAGCTCTAGGCTTCCCAAGGTCCCAAACTACTTCTCCAGAAGTTTGAGACCAAAGGGGAGCGAGTGACAGTTTGTGAAATCGATTGCGCGGCGTGACGGCCGGGCGCGGCGCCGGGAGGGGCGTGCGCCTGGGGATGCGTGTCCGTGGGGCGGGCGTGCGGGTGCGGCTCCCGGACTTCTGCCTCGCATGTTCCCGACTCCGAATGGCTCGCTTTTTCCCATCGTTAACTGGCTTTCCAAATCGTTGCACAATATTTGGAACCTTGGAATGGAACTTGGCAGAGCGTATGAGAAAAAAAAAAGTTTTAGGTTATTTATTTATTTATTCTGGATTTCAGGATTCCTTAAATAGCAACCTATTCTAAATGGTAAATGCTTCCCTTTCTTGGGAAAAGGAAGATAGTGTCTAAGAAGTTTTTTTTTTTTTTTTTAAGGAGCATGTCAGAAAATTTTAAACAAATAGATGACGAAAAGTATTGGAGAAAGATGATTGTTAGTAGTAGTTAGTAGTATTCGTCCGGTACCAATGCAAAGGGAGAATCGAAGAGGTTTCAGGGTGGAAGATCAACTCCTCTCTCAATGAGTGCAATACGACAAAAACTGGGAATCCAAGGGCAGGTCCAGTGCTGTCTGCTCAAAGTGATACGCGCAACGGGGCACCCACCAGGCGTTCGTCTGCGTGCCCGGAACCTAACAGCCCTGGGAGCGCCGGAACGCGCAGCTTGCCCGGGAAATCTAACCACAGAGGCAGGTCTGCAAAGCCCTTACCTGCCTGCATTGTGATGAAATTGTTCAGAGGATTTTTCACTGAAGGGGAGTTGTGACCCTGGGTTCCTTCGTGTTTTAGGAAGATGTCATTTGCGCAATAGAACACTTAGCGTGTGTTTCTTTTGCGAAATTGATGTCTATAGTCCCAGAAGATAATCTCAGCCGTGGGTTGAAAGAGTTGGCAGATGTCTATCTCCTGTAAAGCTTTAGGCCACATAAAGGACGCAGATGGAAATGAGCGTTGGAATTGCTTTGCAGCGATGCTACCGATCTTTCTTCAGTTTAGCCTGCGCTGGATTTCTTTCGACTTTTACTTTCCAGGGTCAGGGGTGGACCATTAATGCCCCATCACAAATTAGTTAATATCTAAGAAAGTTACTAGCGATGTCACTCATTTTTAATGGGTTTTACTAACTACAAATGAAACTCTCTTAAGACCAGTTGAAAGGTTAATCCCAGCAAGAAGGTTTTCATCTTCATTATTTAAAGATAAATAAATAAACAAGGGCCAGTTTTAGACAGCAATGGCCCTTGCACAGACTGGGCGCTGGATATCAGTGTTGGTGTGGAAGCGGTGGCAGTTCAGGCGGTTCGGGCTGATGAGAACATCCTTCTAGAACTAGAAGCTCTGAGTGAGCGGCCCTTCTCACTCTCCGCGGGAGAAGCCGGATGATGGGCTCCCTCCTCAGGCGTCCTGACTCAGCCCAGTACCCCTGAGTGTCTTAGGGCAAATCCGAATTTCATAGGGCAAGTGTGATTTTGTTTGGGACAGATAGAGAAAGTGGAATACAAGAACTGATGCCCACGAATTGTTTCAATGAAACTTAAAAAAAAAAAAAATTGGCCTCCTTTAATGCTCCTTAGCTCCTCTCTCATGGATGAGAAATTAGCCATATAACAAAGTAAAATTCATTTTTACATGTTGAAGCTGATATTTAGGGTCCATGAAAAGCAAGTTTGTGTCAGCCGCATAAAGTATTGATAGATTACAGCTTGAGTGGGAAATACACTCAGCCATCACCAAGGATAAAATCATTGGGGACTTTAGATGAGGGTTTTCTTTGATGGTACGTTCTGGAAGAATGTTTGACTAAAAGGAAACATCACAACAGTTTCTGGCTCGATCTATTTATGGCATAATTATTGAAATTAAACTTAATTGGCCAGTTTTAACCTCTGAGTTAATATTGACTAGACATTTAGGTAGATTTAAGTTTAAGATGTCTTTCTCCTATATTGCATTTGGTTTTCCATAATTTATGTTAGAATTTATTTTACTCCTTAGTGTTATAAGGACTTCTCAACATAGCAGAAACTGAAGCAACAGTAGAAATAATTCTTATTCTGGCCTATTCTTATCATGCATATTAACATTATAACTCTTGCTTTATAACACAGTTTTAATATTGCAATATTTCTAAAACCTAAAATGGAGTTGATTTCTGAACTCTGAAAAGTTGAAATTGTGTTAAGTGAAATGCAGATCATGCATCGTGGAGATCATGTGCATTTGGTCATACAGTTTATAATCACTGTGTAGTTATAGTGGAGAATGAACGCGATGCATACAACCATGGCGAAGTCCAAACACGGCGAAGTCCAAACGCCTGCATCTAACACCAAACTGTACTTGTAGTGTTTGTGACAATGCTAAATTCTAACAGAATTTAGATCACTAGAAAATATTGAAAAGCGGCCCAAATATTTATAAACCACGCATCTGTATCCATAGTAATGATGCTAAAAGTACAGTGTGTAACATTTCCCAGTATGGATATGCATTTCCCCTTCACAAACACACATGAACACACACATGTACAAATCATGGAAGCTTAGGGGTTTAGAAGCAAATATTTATGGACTTTAGGCCTCCATTATAGTTTATTGACAATTGAAAATAACCAAGTTTAATAGGAAAGTACACCATTATTTTTTATATGTGTTAACATTTTTGTAACTTTGAACCCGCTATGCTTTCTAGCATTATTAGCAAGCCAACATCTGCTACGTCTTCAAAGGGACTCTTAAAAATTGAAAGTTTACAATGGTGCTTAAGACAATCAATACAAAGCAGGTGATTCTGAGCAATGTCTATAAATAGTGTCAATTGCTTGGCTTCAATTACATTTGATTGTTCTCCAAGTAGTGTAGGAACAGGGTATAAACTGCCCACTTTCAGTTAAAATAACTAAAATTGATTAATCGATGTAATGCCAGTTTTTTTGTGGGGGACATACAATATATATTGTAAATATATTCTTTCAAATTAGTGAATATAAGTTTGTATTTCCTAAAAGTCAGAACTTAATCCAAAACAGGGCATGATTTGGAGACATGAATTTTATTAGACGTTGCATTATATTAGATTCTTGTAAAATGGCAAATATTTTATTTATAGCTACCAACTCATAAAACATTTGTTGTGGAACAGTGTTTGTCTATATGCTTGGCATTGCAGAATGACAAGTACACACTGCACTTAATAAACTGAAAGTTAAACCCAAAGTTACATCTTACTCAAGCTAATTGTGCATCATATTGTAATTTTTCCTAGATATTCCATGACTGTGTTATATTATTCATTTCTGTGTTACTGAATTGTGTCTTTTTAGTAGTTGCTTTAGAGTAGAAGAAAATACTCTGTTGGATCTCAAAGATTAAGGAGAATGTTGAACAATTTAAAAGTCTCAAAACTACAGAATGTACCATTTTCACTCTTTTTCTTGGAGTAGTAGATTAATTTTTGGGTAAGAACTCTTTGAAATGAAGATGCTTTATTGTTGAATGCCATCAATGAATGAAAGGAAGAATGTAAATAAAAGTAGGAATATTTTCCAGTTCTATGTAAATCTCTAAAACATTTGAAAAGGAAAACCATTAAGTGCAAGACATGACAACATATAAGCTTTCCCTCAGGTTAGAAATTTGATGTTAAATATTTAACATTTAATTTTTACTTAATAGTAACTATCAATAGAAACCATTATGCTGACACCCTGTAAGCTGATTTCTACTCTTAAACTGGAAAAAAAATGTTTTGTTTATTACCCCTCTCCCCTCTGTGCTTGAAAACATTGGCCTTTATCACAACACTGGAAGTCACAACTTATAATATTTGCTCTAAGGCCTACTTATTTCAAGAAATTAGTTTTAAATGAAAATATATAAAATGCCAGAAAGGATCAATTCTCTCTCTTATACTTATGGAAATTTGAGAGGCTAATTCCAAAGGTAATGGAAGAACTAACGCTTTTTTCATTTGAAAATGTCAGCCTATAGATGAACTAATAACTGAATCATGTGTAAAAGTCCCTATATATAAATCTGTTGTAGGTCTTTGGTCTGGTAATGTAGTCATGGTTGGACAATTTGATTCATTTAATGGTCTTAAAATGGCAGCTTGAAATACAGAGCAAAGATGTGAGGGCTGTTTATATCTCCATTTCGAATGAAAAAAAAATCAATATTATATGACAATATATTAAGTCTTAGGCTGTGCTCACTTTAGTAATTTATTTCTGAATTTCTGAGCCTATTATTTTTACAAGCATTGAATTGAGGGTTGCAAATATCTATTATTGATAAATGTTACTTAGATTGAAAAATTGGAAAACATATATTACAAAATTAATTAATATTGGTTGAGTTCATAGCTGTGTATAAGCCACCTTTCCCAAATAGCCTGTATTTTTGCACACTGATTTTTGTAACAATGAAGCATTCTGTGAGGAAGATACATTAGTCTGTGAAGTGAGACGATCAATAATAACATTTCCCACTTAGCTATAATCTTAAAATAAGAAGGATCCACTATTGACTTAAAAACTACATTGCATTTCTTGACTTATGTTTGTGACCTACTCCAACGGTTAAAAATCAGAAGGAACAAAGATGAAATACAGACCAAGGACAAATCACAAAACAGAAATTGAGGTAGGTATGACATGTCTCCTCCACAACAAAATTCTGCAACAAGACACATATTTTATCATCACTACTTATTTCTCTATATCAT